ACCAATGTCCCAATCTTGCCCTTCAAGACTTGCTATCCACAGTGTTACTCATACTTTTCAATACAAACTGCACCCTTTCAGTTTCTCAGGCCAAATGACTGTGGTATCCTTGTATCCATGTATACCTTCTTTGGTGTATTTCACATGTTATCTGTCAATGAATCTTGTTCACTTTATCTTCAGACTATGCCCAGAACCTGACCATTACTCATTTATCAACAACTATCACCCGACCCCAGGACAGCATCATCTTTTGACACAGTATCCAGAGAATTCCTTTCAAAAGATGGCATCATTCCGTCAATGAGTGTCCATCTCACTCAGAGTGAAAGCCAAAGTTCTTATACTGACTTGCAGAGTCTTATTCTGTCTTTTTGACCGACTCTGGCATTACTTTCAAATACTCTCCTTCAGTTCACTCTAACTCAGCCACACTGACCTCCTTGCCATTGTAGAACACATTAGACATACTCTCACTTTGAGACATAGGAATGTACTATTCTGTTTTATTTGTTGTTCAAACCTGAAAGATAATTGCCCCATACATCTGAAACACTTGTTCCATCACCTTCTTCAGCTCTGTGATCAACTGTCATCTTCTTATTAAGACACATGCACACGTATGTTTATTGCGGCACTATTCACAATAGCAAAGACTTGGAATCAACCCAAATGTCCATCAGTGACAGACTGGATTAAGAAAATGTGGCACATATACACCATGGAATACTATGGAACCATAAAAAAGGATGAGTTTGTGTCCTTTGTAGGGACATGGACGCAGCTGGAAACCATCATTCTTAGCAAACTATCACAAGAACAGAAAACCAAACACCGCATGTTCTCACTCATAGGTGGGAACTGAACAATGAGATCACTTGGACTCGGGAAGGGGGACATCACACACCGGGGCCTATCATGGGGAGGGGGAAGTGGGGAGGGATTGCATTGGGAGTTATACCTGATGTAAATGACGAGTTGATGGGTACTGACGAGTTGATGGGTGCAGCACACCAACATGGCACAAGTATACATATGTAACAAACCTGCACGTTATGCACATGTACCCTAGAACTTAAAGTATAATAATAATAATAATTAAAAAAAAAAAAAAACATGTACCCTAGAACTTAAAGTATAGCACACACACTAAAAAAAACCTGGTTTGAAATGTTAAACCAAATGTTAAACCTAAAAAAAAAAAAAAAAAAAAAAAGACATTCCCTTATCACCCTACTTAAGATCGCATCATCCTCTCCACCACATCCTGTATATTCCTCTCCTGCTTTTGTTGTCTTTGTCATTATTGTGTTGGAGGTGGTATAGAGTGATCCACTTTCTAATGCTATGCTATTCTTTTACTTATTTGTTTTTTCATAGTCCATCTCTTCTCCAACAGATTATAATTTCAACTAAGGCAGGCAATGTCTAAGCATAGTGTCGCCAATGCTTACAATAGTATCTAACACATAGATTGTATATAAAGCAGATTCATGAGTGCATGAATGAATGCCTCACTCTTGTGTCATGACTTACAGTTTCCAAAGTTCATTCATTTCTCCCTACAGTCTTACTGTGTTGAGCCTCGTGAGCAAATCTGGGTATTAAAAAGGTAGATTAATCTGGATATTAAAAAGATTGGTATCTTGCCAATACTTAGAAAAGTGGTTGTCTTTATTCATTTTAATAATCATATGCCAGGCAGTTTCCACATATTCATACAAGTTATCTAAATTTATCATCACAACTATCCTATGACATAATTGTAACTGTTTTATTAATTCATTTATAAATCAATTAATTTGTTAAACAACTACTTATTAACCTTCCACAATGTGCCAGGCTCTGTGATCCAGAATCAAACAGTACAGACAAAAATCACTGCCTTCATGCAGCATATATAAATGAAAGAAAAAATAAAAAATAAACAAACATATATTACATATATATGGCATATACATATACATGTATGTATAGTATACATACACACATATTAAAATGAATAGTCTGTTTCAGGGTGATGTGTGTTGTTAGGACAATAAATCAGAGGAGAGAAAGAAGGCACCCTAAGTACAGAAAAACTAATTGCCCAGCATTGCACAGCTAGCAAGGGCTAGAGACAATATTCTGAGTCTTACCCCACAGTGTGTAACCATACGCTATAGTAATAATCAAAGCTACAAAGTTTCTTTAGGGTACTTTATTTGTTAAGATGTCTCTAGTAGCCACTCAGAGGAAACCATATCTCAAATGGGAGCTTGTTTCACATACCAAGAGGCCCAGAAGGTCCAGCCCTACAATGCCAGAAATCTGGCTTCCCTCTGGGAACAAAGCAGGTGCAGTTTCAGCTTTCTATCCAGATATGCCAACATCAATTACAAGAAAGTGAACATTTCTTTTGGAATTATCTTGGAAAACAACAACAAAAACCTTTCCCAGAAGTCCTGAGTAAATCTCCTTGCATTGTCCCAAGTATCGTCACAGGATGCTGCTAAGCATATCCCTAGCAAGGACATGATCAGTGTTCCCTAGGTATTCTGGATTTATTCCTGGAGTCTGGAATAGAGTTTTCTTCCCCTATATAACATGGTTTGGCCATGTTCCCACCCAAATTTCATCTTGAATTATAGTTCCCATAATTCCCCTGTGTCATGGGAGAGACCTGGTGAGAGGTCACTGAATCATGGGGGAGTTACTCTCATGCTGTTCTCATGATAATGAGTTCTCATGAGATCTGACGGTTTTGTAAGGGACTTTTCCTGCCTTCACTCTGCACTTCTCCTTTCTGCCCTCATGTGAAGAAGGACATGTTTGCTTCCCCTTTTACCATGATTGTAAGTTTCCTGAGGCCTCTCCAACTATGCTGAACTGTGAGTCAGTTTAACCTCTTTCCTTTATAAACTGCCAAGTCTTGAGTGTGTCTTTATTAGCAGCATGAGAACGGACTGATACACTATGTAAAGCAAAGGAGCAATAATGATTTTAACAAGAACTGTCAAAAAGAAAAATGGAGGTTAGACAACTACTAGCATTTGTCATTAATACGAACCAAGGTTTATTCATGGTCTAGTCATCAAGAGTGGACACATTAAATAAATTTTATAAATAGTTGTTGATTTGAGTTAGATTAAGTAATAGAAAAAGCAAATACAAGGAATAGAGAAGAGGGAAAAAAGGGGTGGGACAGGAGGGGGATTTTTGAACCTAATACAAAGGGGAGACAGACCACAACTCTGAATTGGGAGTGAAGGAAACCCATTCCTCATGATTGCCCTAGAATTCAATAGCTGTGTGACTTGGGGCTAATCACATAATGTCCCTGTGACTCAGTTTCATCACTAGCAACTCCAATCTAATGATGCTCATTAGTCCACATTTCATGACACCAGAAGATTTAATAAGATGCCTGTGTTTGGTGAAAAAAGAAAAGCAATACCTGGACATTCCAGTTTAAAGTGTGGTTGTTCTCCACTTATAGATATGGAGAAAACTAGAGTATCTACAGCACAAGGAAAATTTAGTTTAAGGAGATGATTAACTGAACACACATACATCGATACATCCATTTGTACCCCTATACATGCACACAGCCCTACAACTCTTTCTCATTTAAAAGTATTATTATACTTTTAAGCAATTATTGTTTTCAGAAACTGGTTGAATAATTGACAAACATTGTCTCATTTAATTTTACATCTCATGAGTTAAATACTACTATAGAATAATTTTCAGTCTGAATGATCCAGATAGACTCTTTAAATGTCCACTTCATTTTATATATATGTACTTTTTCTCCCCCATTAAATGGATGACATTTCAGTGAATGGCTATGTTTGTCAGTGTTTCTCCTAAATTTAAACACAGAGCTTCAGCCATTTTCCTTGCACCAATAAACCACTCTATGGTGCCTTGAACTGATCAGATAAAACTCATTCAGGAAAATTTAGCACCAGCCAGTTGCTAAAGGCTGAGTTGGGTCTGTCTATTTCTTAACTGCTCTGTATTTGCTCATCCAGTCTCAGAATCAGCACTTGATGTGCATTAATCCCTTGTGACATATCCTTCTCAGCAACTCCTCAACAAAAACCTTGACTGTGGAATCTTATCGACAATAGCAAGCTAGTGTTTCACAATGGACTCCTCTTCAAAACACTTTACTCAGATGATATGCATATCATATATAAGATATGAGAGAGAGAAACAAGGTCAGAAAGAGATTCAGAAAAATTGAGTGATTTGGCAGGTTTCCCATGAGAACTCTGAGGGAAGGACCAGGGTGAGGCCAAGAGCTGGAGATATGAAATAGGGAAAGGTGGAGGCTTATCCACGGCTCTGCCAATGCCACACTGTGTGCTCTTGGGCAATTCATTTTAAATCTCCCAGCATTAATTTTCTCATCTGTAAAAATGGGAAGAGAGAATTAAGCTAAGGTTGGAAAGTACCCAGTAGAGGTGCCTGAGGCGGACATTGAGAATCAATCATGATACTTTTTCCCACGGAGTTGGCAATAGGTCCCCGTGTTCTTCTCAACACGCACTCCAGGCAGCCTGGAACAATCCAAGCTGGCACATCATTTAGAATATATCTGTCATTCCTGGACTAAATAATTATCAACATTCGTTTTAAATCTAATATTTTAAGAATATATTGCTGCTGTGGAAAGAATCATGAACTTGAGATCAGAAGACCAGGTTTAAATTCTGGTTCTGACATTTATTACTTCTGTGTCCTTAAGTAAATCAATTCATATCTTTGGTCAGCTTGATTTTTGTAATCTGAAAAATGGGAATAAAATATCAATGCCTTATGATCAATGTGACCACCAAAAGATATATAGGCGAATGCACCAAAATGCATAGCATATCCTGGCACACTGTAGACATTCCATCACCCATTAAAATTTAAGGTGATGGATATCCCTGTTACACTGATTTGATATTTACAAGATATATACATGTATCAAATGATCACATGTATCTTGAAAAATATGTACCTCTATTATATATCAATAAACACAAATTTATTTGAAGGTGACACCTGGTGTGACAAATGCACACGTGATGAAGTTGCTATGGATGCTGGAAGCTAACAGAAAAGTGGAGGAGATAGGGAGGGTAAGTACTTCTGTGAAATTTCAGCTCTTCCCTTTTTCCACCACTGCTGCTGATGAGTCCTATAGTCCTGGTCCTGGACCACACATATTCAATTTCCCTAACCCAATCAACAGACTGTGTCTTCCTCCTTCAGTTCTAGATATCTGGCTCATAAAGCCACTTCCAGATGGCCTGTCTAGGAACTGCCAGCATCTGTCAGTTCCCTCCTTGCCTTTTCCCTTCCCCTAATCCCCTATCTCTATACTCAATGGGATAGATGTTCCACCAGTATCTTAACTCAGTGGGCATCTTTGCTTTGTTCATCTATATTTGTGTGTGTCTTGAGAAAAGATAGTCAGGATGTGGTGCTAGGGGTTCCTTTCCTTCCACATCATCATCACCACCCTAGGTGTCTAGGTCCTTACTATCTGTTCCCAAAGTTTGTAATTATATTTCTGTTGAAAGATAGTTGTCTGGAAGGCATGGTGGCTCACACCTGTAATCTCAGTAGTTTGGGAGACTAGGATAAGAGGATTGCTTGAGGCCAGAAGTTCAAGCCCAGCCTGGGCAAGATAATGAGACTCCCGTCTCTACACAAAAAATAAAATAAAATAGCCTGGTGTGGCACGTGACTGTAATCCTAGCTACTTGGGAGGCTGAGGCAGGAATATTGCTTGAGTCCAGGAGTTCAAGGCTGCAGTGAGTTATGATGGCACCACTGCACTCCAGCCTCGGCAATGAACAAAAAAAAAAAAAAAAAAAAAAGGAAGAAAGATAGTTGTCCATACAGCATATTTATGGTGTGTTTGTGTGTGTGTGAGAGGGGGTTAAAATATTAAGGCACAAGTAGCAATTTCCCTTGTCAGTGGATCATAGACTTACTGTTAGCAGTTACAAGTACTCCTCAAGAGCTCCTCAACCCAGGTGAGATGTGCTGCACACTACTGAAATAGAGATGGGATGGTCTTTAGTCCACACCCATCCCTGTGCTGGTGGCAAGTGCTCCATCTCAAGCAAAACAGGGCAATCTCCTTTTGATGGCACATCCCACTGCTCCTCCTTTCTCATTTTGCCCCAATCTACAGGATGTTATCTAGTCTCAGGCTGTGTGTATGTGTTGTGCCAGGGGTTGTGGGATGAGGTACTAATTATGCATGTGTAAATTCTATATTTTTTCCCTAGTTCAGAATCACTTTATGCCTTTCTTTGCTGTAAATGTAGTGTTGTTTAAAGCAGGACAGGGCTTATATCCAGGAGGGTATGCTGGGGAGGCACTAGTTCAGGGTCCAAAGAAGAAATTTGATGAGTTCCTAGTTAAGTAAAAATTAATACTTGTAAAGATTTTCCAGTTACATTACTTTTTCTTGGACATCTTTACTCTAGCATATCCAATGAAATAATAATTAGCCTATAAATCATAAACATGTTCAAAGCAGGACAGATATTATTTAACAAATTTGTATAGCCAAAGGTGGGCATGGAGCTGAGTCAGGAGCAGGGGTGGGGAAAAGCTAAATTATCTTGAAAAATTGAATAAATTTGATTTTGAAGTTTGTGAAGGAATCTGGGAGGGATGGTGTCTGGAAGAATCATGGAATAGAAAGAAGCAAGAAGGGTAATAAGATAATGTGAGGCCTGGATACCTTGGAGGATGAAGCAGCCATGAAAAATCCTCAATCAAGCAACAAAGGGGCTCTTATAATCAAGAATATGTAATAATGTTTTGGTTGGTGAAGTGGTTTGGCTGTGCCCCTATCTAAATCTCACCTTGAATTATAATAACCCTCATGTGTCAAGGGCAGGACCAGGTGGAGATGATTGAATCATGGGAGTGGTTTCTCCCACACTGTTCTTGTGGTAGTGAATAAGTCTCAAGAGATCTGATGGTTTTATAAAGGGGTGTTCACCTGCACAAGCTCCCTCTTGCCTGCCACCATCTAAGATATGTCTTTGCTTCTGCTTTGCCCTCTGCCATGATTGTGAAGCCTGTGGAACTGTGAGTCTATTAAACCTCTGTACTCTATAAATTACCCAGTCTAGGGTGTATCTTTATTAGCAGTGTGAGAACAGACTAATACAAGTGGTTTGAATTATTGTGATCTAAAACTCTTCCTTAGCTCCTCAAATTTTGCACTAAATATTCTGTGTATAAAGAATATACGTTCCTTGTGCGTTGTATTCCTAGGTATTTTCTTTTCTTTTCAGCAATTGTGAACTGGAGTTCACTCATTATTTGGCTCCGTTTGTCTAATATTGGTGTATAGGAATGCTTGTGAGTTTTGCACATTGATTTTGCTTCCTGATACTTTGCTGAAGTTGCTTATCTGCTTAAGGAGTTTTGGGGCTGAGGACAAAGGGGTTTTCTAAATATACAATCATGTCATCTGCAAATAGTGACAATTTGATTTCCTCTCTTCCTATCTGAAAACCCTTCATTTCTTTCTCTTGTCTGATTGTCCTGGGCAGAATTTCCAATACTATGTTGAATAGGAATGGTGAAACAGGGCATCCTCGTCTTGTGCCGGCTTTCAAAGGGAATGCTTCCAGCTTTTGCCCATTCAGTGTGATATTGGCTATGGGTTTGTCATAAATAGCTCTTATTATTTTGGGATATGTTCCATCAATGCCTAGTTTATTGAGTGTTTTAGAATGAAGTGGTGTTGAATTTTATTGAAGGCCTTTTCTGCATCTATCCCTGCTCAAGGAAATAAGAGAGGACACAAACATATGGGAAAAAATTCCATGCTCATGGATAGGAAGAATTGTTATCGTGAAAATGGCAGCCATACTGCCCAAAGTAATTTACAGGTTCAATGTTATTCTTATCAAGCTACCATTGACTTTCTTCACAGAACTAGAAAAAACTACTTTAAATTTCTTATGGAACCAAAAAAGAGCCCACATAGCCAAGACAATCTAAGCAAAAAGAACAAAACTGGAGGCATCAGACTACCTGACTTCAAACTACACTGAAAGGCTACAGTAACCAAAACAGCATGGTAATGGTACCAAAACAGATATACAGACCAATGGAATAGAACAGAGACCTCAGAAATAACACCACATGTCTACAACCATCTGATCTTCAACAAACCTGACAAAAATAAGCAATAGGGAAAGGATTCCCTATTTAATAAATGGTTCTGGGAAAATTGACTGGCCATATGCAGAAAACTGAAACTGGACCCCTTCCTTACACCTTATACAAAAATTAACTCAAGAGGGATTAAGGACTTAAACATAAAACTTAAAACCATAAAAACCCTAGAAGAAAACCTAGGCAATACCATTCAGGACATAGACATGGGCAAAGACTTCATGACTAAAACACCAAAAGCAATTGCAACAAAACCCCAAATCGACAAATGGGATCTAATTAAACTAAAGAATTTCTGCACAGCAAAAGAAACTATCATCAGAGTGAACAGGCAACCTACAGAATGGGAGAAAATTTTTACAATCTATCCATCTGACAGAGGTCTAATATCCAGAATCTACAGAGAACTTAAACAAATTTACAAGAAAAAAACAAACAACCCAATCAAAATGTGAGTGAAGGATATGAACAGACACTTCTCAAAAGAAGACATATATGTGGTCAGCAAACATGAAAAAAAGCTCATCATTGCTGGTCATTTGAGAAATGCAAATCAAAACCACAATGAGTTACCATCTCATGGCAGTTAGAATGGTGATCATTATAAAGTCAGGAAACAACAGATAATGGAAAGGATGTGGAGAAATAGGAACACTTTTACACTGTTGGTGGGGATGCAAATTAGTTCAACCATTGTAGAAGACAGTATGGCGATTCCTCAAGGATCTAGAACCAGAAGTACCATTTGATCCAGCAATCCCATTACTGTGTATATACCCAGAGGATTAAAAATTATTCAGCTGTAAAGACACAAGCACACATATGTTTATTGCAGCACTATTCACAACAGCAAAGACTTGGAACTAACCCAAATGTCCATCAATGATAGACTGGATAAAGAAAATGTGGCAGATACACTCCACGGAATACTATGCAGCCATAAAAAGAATGAGTTCACGTCATCTGCAGGGACGTGGATGAAGCTGGAAACCATCATTCTCAGCAAACTAACACGGGAACAGAAAACCAAATACTGCATGTTCTCACTCATAAGTGGAAGTTGAACAATGAGAATACATGGACACAGGGAGGGGAATATCACATACTGAGGCTTCGCGGGGGCTAGGGGGTAAGGGGAAGAAGAGCATTAGGATAAATATCTAATGCATGGGGGACCTAAAGCCTAGATGACAGGTTGATGGGTGCAGCAAATCACCATGGCACATGTATACCTATGTAACAAACCTGCATATTCTGCACATGTGTCCCAGAACTTAAAGTATAATAATAATAATAATAATAATAACAACAAAATAATATACATGAAATATGTGTAGTGTATGTGAATACGTGTGTGTATATATAAGTGAAAAAATGCAAAGACAAATGTTAATTTGACTCAGCTCAGAGCAGTCTCTGGGTATGGTGAATAATGCATGGGACACAGAGATGACTCATACATATCTAAGCTATGAATTTAAACCATAAACCTCCTCAGAAATGTGAAGATATCTCATGAGAGTTTAGAATTCCAAAGGTGACAAAATTTGGGACCTGAAGCAATCTTATGAAGATCTCAAAGCTCAGGAAAGCTCAGTGAACATCTGGGTCTGAACAATTCCTGTAACCAAGATCAAATGCCTTGTCCTCTAAGGAGTCTTCTTCAAATACTATTTGACAAAAATCAATTACTTTTTGAAGCTCTTACATAACTTTGTGTATAGAACTTGTTATAGATTTTTATGTTTGTGCCTGTCTCCCTAACTGATCCTCAGTGCTATACCTATTTGTTAGTATTCTTCATAACTCATTCTTATGTTTTGTACAATGAATTAAATATTTCAATGATACTATCTTTCTCCTTGCTTCTTAATAAAAGGCTGCATCCTGTGCATTGACTTAAGACTAGAAATAATAATAAATC